GTTCCAGAGGGAAGTTAAAATGTGTGTGTGGGGGGGGGGCAGCTACAGAGTGAATGTGATACCGTGCAATCTTGTTCACAAAAGTGTCACCTCATCAGATGGTCCGTTAGTGATAAAGTGAATAATAAGAGCACGGCAACATGGCACAGAACCGATAAGAGTGATCTGTATTGGATGCTATTTCTATTCAGGTCACCCATAGATGTGGTGCAGTTGTCCGGTGTGGGCTGTAATCCGGAATAGGAGAAACGAATCTTGAAGTTAATACCAGATCCATCCTTCAGATTAAATTTGAATCAGATCCCAGATGGATTCACGGCTCAAAGGATGGGGAAATTAGGGGGTTTCTGCCATACAGAACACAATAAGTGAGTTAAAGATTACACAGTTCTACGCCTGTCTAATAAAATTATTTCGCGCACAAGCGGTATTCCCTATTTGAGCTTGCTCAACTTTATCGCCAACAAACATTTTACCTCTTGCGAAAACTTCTGCAACAATATGCTATCAGACATCACTCACTCATTACAGACACAGAACTTAAACAATGTTTTTCCACTTCTGTAGATAGATGTCGTTGTAAACTTGTGTATACTAGTACCACTGCCCACCGTTTGTTCGTTGTCCCATTGATTTCTCGATTTCTGGCACAGAAAACATCCGTTGGAGAAAACCTTTTCAAATTCCTAACCGATATCCATTTTCACATTTTTACGCAACATTCCTCTTGGATTTACGATGCTGTATTTTACTTTTTCTCTGTGACTGCATGCGATGATGAATGACCCTGGTGTGCAAGGAGTTGAAAATCTGTCCATTAGGATGAATAAAGCCATTTGTGACTTGACTATTACATGACAGGAATGAGGCTAAAGTGAAAACATCCGAAGTGACCTAAAGTTCCTGTCTCACATAGGGTGGGTCCAGCTTCATTGATGTTTACCATAGGAAATGCTCTCGTGCTGAGAAACAGAGAGATGAGAGCGTTCTACCTGGAACGAGAGCGAAATGCGTAAATCCAAAACTTTAATCGTGACGGTAGCGACGGGCGGATAAATTATTTCTGTAAAACCTCAAATCATATCCCTGAAGAAAAGCATATAGCTTCAGAAAAATTTGATCATTAGCACGACTGGGATTTCGGAACTTGGTTCCGAGGATGTAAAATTAGATCGATCAGACACCGACTGCCAGTTGAGTACGGTGTTCCCAGGGCCCAGCTACACTGGAGATCAAATATGGTTAAATGAAAGTTCGGTTGCGAAGCGCTAACCAAATTGCATATTTAAACTTTAGAGCAGACCGGGCAGTATTGCGTAAAGAGAGCAATACAGGAATGACGGAATGAAAAAAATTGTTCCCACATAAACCGGTGTAATAGGATTAGTTTGGTAAAGCGTGCAAGGATACTGAGGGTCAGTGTTTCCATGCAGCGAACAGCGCTGTGTACGGTATANTATACGATAAGGACGGAGAACAGGAAGGAAGAGAAATTGTTATCAACAACAATAACACATGAGGGAAACTCGATGAAACCTTGCCAGCCAAGCGATATCGGTCATTCTGACTGACGTGCACGGGATTGCATTCGAACGTCTCTATTACGGCGGTGGCACATTCCATTGGTCAACAACTGCGTTGTAATCACGTCAAGTCACGTCAACTTAAGCCTCATGCACCCAATAGGTGGGGCCTTCAGCACCCCACTGGGACTGCACGCAGTTCATTAGTAGAACTGCACTCATCCATTTAACCGCACAGCTTAGTTCACGCAATCACCAACTATGCACTCTTACGCTCCAGGTTAGACTGTTGTCTTTCAGCAACCCGGTGGTAACGTGACCAAATTATCACCCCATAGGACGTGTGTTCAAATCCTACCACCAACGTTCGACTTTCCCTATTGTATGGGAGCCCTTTGATTGACCGCTTCCCTCTTCCTGAAACTTGTATCATTGTGTATTGAACAAAAGGAAGCAAAAATGCAAAAAGAAAAAAGACAGAATGAGATAGATTACTGATCATCCAAATCAAACTGGAGGGAATGAGGAACTTAAACTGGTGGGGGAAGATGTATAGATAGATAGAGAGGAACGAGTGTTTCCGTTCAAGAGAACCTGTTATGACATTCAACCACCGATTTGGCGAGTCACAAATACTTTCCTTGGGTTGAATCTCTAAAAGTCACACAGATGGTAGGTTTGCGTGATTACGATGTTTACTCTTTCCACCACGTATCACACGAAGTTAGTTCAGTCAGACAACCGTTACCTCCCAGCTTTGGTCGTAGTTGCGGTTTTCAGACAATTAGTCTGGTTGAAAATCCAGAGGTTAAACGAAAAGCAGTGTTAGGAAGATAAAGTAAAGTGGATATACGCACAAAGCGAACAGATTCACAAATGCAGCGGTGTACGATGATCCGCTCACTCAATATCTTCAACTAATAATTGGTTTGATTCAGTGGTCCCTGCATTCTCGACATGATTAAATACAGTGCGAAGGGATATTACTGATTCACGTCAGTTTATAGTCTCCCAATCTGTGATTTCTTTGCATCATTTACATGAGTCAGCAGACAGCACACGCGCACACAATGTAGAAATCTGCATAAAAGATGAGATGCGAACATCAAAGACATCATTCATTCTCCTTAGTGCTTCTTTTAACGACTTACCACTACTGCAATTTGATGTGATGTGAAAACTACAGAAGAGCTCTAAGCCCAACGACCTCCTGGGGAGCTAGCTGTTCATCGTAAGAGCATATAACGTGAACTGACAAAGCCGTTAAGATGACATCAAAAGTCTAGAAGCCGTACCGTGAAGAAATTAAAACTGCACATGTGTACATCACCCTCGACACGGCTTCTCGCGTGTAGCGCGAAAAATGGAATCCCGGTAGAGCGGTACAATCTCAGGTATGAGCTGAAAAACAGCATCTCTATTGTGATGAGTATTGGAAAGCATTGATGATCATAAAGTAAAGCGATTGGATTGGTCTAGGTTGCCAGTCAAACGCTGTGATTTTAACAGCTGTTCTGTTCATTGATGCATCTGTACAAATGTGTAGTAAATCAGCTCGCTCTCCCTCACCCTACTCGTACCATAGTTATTGCGAAGATCCAACAAGTGTTAGTACATAACACCTGGTCTGTGGTTAAACAATTCACAACGCACAGATATGTACATGTATGTATGAACACACACGGAAGCACCAAACACGACGAGTAGAACTGTGCATACTAGCACGATTCAGAAGCACATACCCCGGTCGATTGGCCAGTTGGCGCAGTTGACTGACAAAGTCCACATCGGTCCCGGTCAATTCGAACCCGAGACGACTGCGACCGAGAACGGCCGCGTAGGCTGTGCCCGTATGGACAGCCACTCGCAGTTCCAATTGCATATTGGTCATTTGGGCCAACTCACTGATAACGAGGCAATCCGTTACGGGAGGAGGGGTGGGGTAGAGTGAAGGAAATGAGAAGAGGCAGGTCCGGATTAAGAAGTAAGCACCTGATAACGCACCGCATTTATATGGTCGGCTAATGCGCGATAGGATGAGGCAGTGAATAATATCGATGAAAGTCATATTACCACTGTCATTAGTAAAGCAGAAGAAAGTATGAACTGTTTGTAAGCTCCAGCACACCAAACACCGCCCCAAACCGAACAATTGCATTGAAACCAAAGAGTAGAAAGATGTAGTGGAGTTCACAATCGAAACTCAATAAAGCCATTGGCCGATTCGAGATCAGAGAATGGAATATGGTGGTCATGCCTGAGGTGTGGCAAACTATATTTCCTAGATATTTTTTAACCATGGTCAGCGTCATACATTTTCTGTTGTTTCACTGAACCCATTTTACATCAGTTATTGAATTAAAACTGTAACAAGATTACAGCCTATCATACGCCAGTCCATCAAATTAAAACCAAACCAGCATATACATCCAATGAAAAGTTTGTTCCACGCCAAGAGTGCCTCAATATGGATACTCATTCTCCATCGACAGCCGAACAATCGATTCACTAGCAGGATGCCTCCGTTAATTTTATTTCAATGACGGACGAGCCTCATCTCGATATTGGAAAACGTCTTGTTGAGCGCATCTATCTTTTCAGCGGTAAATTATGGATTGTTCCATCTAGGAACATCATTTCTGAACAATTCCTTAAAAACCTGCTCTGTACCAGACCGTTGGAAACCAGTAACAATTGTTCCCATTCCCAAATCCTCTACTTCAAACGTTCTAACCAAACGCTTTCGTCCTATTGCTTTAACCTTTTTTGAACTTAAGCTAGCAGAACGTGTTGTTCTTAAGCGCATTCAGTCCTCTATTGGTGTCCCATATGATCCTCTTCCATTTGATTATAAACCGAACAGAGGCACGCTGGATGCAGTTTACTCTCTTTTACATAAAATTACCAAATCCTTGAATGATTCCGCGAAATATGTTCTTTCTGTATTTTTGGACTACTCTTCTGCTTTTGATTCTATTCACCGTTCCCTTCTTCTTCATAAACTAGAGACCTTTGATTGTCCTAGACAGTTATTAGCTTGGCTTGCTGATTAATTATCCGGGAGAACTCAGTGTACCAGGTTAGGTCGAAAGAAATCCAAACCGTTATTGAACAGCTCTGGAGTAATCCAAGGGGCAGTTCTTTCCCCATACTTATTTTCTACGTATATTAGTGACTTGTATGCTTGCGCTCCTACTTCTCTCTTCAAGTATGCTGGCGATGTGGTCTTGTGTCAGGCAATCTCTGACTCTTCTGGTCTTTCACAATTTTCCGACAACTTGGATAACGTCCAACGGATTTCCGTCACATCGGTCTTATCTCT